CTGCCACACTCTTGTTGAACACAAACAAACAATCAAACGTGTGTTATCTTGTATTTTGGTTAGGTTTTTATCAGTTTAAACTGTGTCTCAATGTCGACCAAATACCGTTTGATTCAGTTTATAAATATCAATAATATTATACTGTTACTGCTAAACAAGGCCATGGCCTAGTCAGTAAGATTTTATTTTAACCCTCTGAGTACCGTCATTATAGACACATTTAAAGAACAATTTTTTTTTTTTTAAGGGGGGAAAATCATCGAATGACTGCCCCCGCCTGGGTGAGGCGGGAGGGAGTGTCAGACTCTTACTGACTAAAAACCACCCCGTTCCTTCTCCTGCACGTCGAGCCGGAGCCCCGGTTACCCGTTAGGTTCTCCGCGACTCCGAATCGGCATCGGCCCTATTGGGCCCCATCTGTGGTGGTCTGATGGCTCTTTGAGGCGCGCGCGGAACGCGACGCGCCGTACGCTCGGGTACGTCTGTTTCTGGTCGGACGGGGAGCCACCCATGCTCGCCGTCCGCAGGCCCGCGCTTACGGTGGCCGGAGATCGTCCCGCGATCCCCGACGCCCGGTGTGTCCTTCGCGATGGCTGGGTTGCGAGGAGGCAGCGCTTCGCTGCCTCACGCGTCCCGCCTCCTCCTTAGCTAGCATGACTGCTTCGCAAAAGGAGGAGACGGCATCCCAATCCCCCTCGCTCCGCATCATGGCCTGCACTAGGCCCGGACGCGAGAGGTCGCCATCGCCGATCACTTCCCTGAGGACACGGCGGTGCTCAGCCCACGAAGGGCATTCTCCCACCGTGTGTTCCACCGTGTCCTCAGAGATGTCCTCGCAGTGATGACACCCGGGCGTTTCCTCCCGCCCCATCAGACACAGGTACCTCCCGAAACTGCCATGTCCGGTGAGGACCTGCGTCAGGCGGTAGGTGAGGACGCCGTAGCGTCTCTCAAGCCACTCCTCAAAGAGGGGACTTACCGCTGCGATGGCAGCGAGCCCAATTTAAAGAACAATAGGTTGCGGTCACCGGTGTCCTCGCGATGTTTGACAGTTTGAGAGCGATTTAAAAAATTTATTTATTTAAATATGAATGTTACATACACTAACTACACTGAATAATACTTAAATAGTGATGATGGTATTTGATAATCATCACTTAAACCAAATTAATGTAATTTGTGTGATATAATGCTTTTCTCAATTTTGTGCAGCATCCCTCATCTATGTCCATTTTCAGCGTTTCTTTTTCAATGAACTGCATCATTAGGTGATTTTTTTTATGCTTACCATAGAATAACAAATATAGATCGGTATATCCTCACAAATTTTCGCATTCATTTCAAATAGGACAAAATATTATGACAAAAGTGTCACCATATGTCTGAAACAACAATAACATCCCAACAACACATGTTTGTATATAACCTCGCCGCTGTTCAAGTGTGGGAGAGATTGGGCTGGCTCGACCGGAGTGTTACCACGGTCTCACAGAAAATCGACGCGCAACAACGCATGGGTTGTGTTTCCTCCCCAAACTCCCCATGAATCCTTAAACTCTTAATACCCAAAAGGCCAGTAACGCACTTGTAACGCCTCTGGTGTTCCAGGTGTCCATGGGTGGCGCCATTTGTTTATCATTAGGTTATCCGTCTGCCCTTTTAACAGTTTATTAATAAAAAATGATAGTAGACTCTACTAAAATAGACCTACACACCAATTCCTATCTTATCGACTAACATAAGTATTTATCAACATAAAATATCAATATTGAATGACCACTGATATGTTTAATTTGAAATATCTTAACATATGTTTAACATAACATCACGGTTTTTTAAGCTGCGAATGTGTATACTGAACTGCTTTAGATTTAAGTGCGTGAGAGCCATGCTTCAGCACGTATGGGCCGGCTCAACCGGAGTGCTACCACGGCCTCATAGAAAACCGACTTGAAACAACGTTTGCGTTGTGTTTCGTCGTGTGAGTGAGGTTACCGGAGGCCCAATTATCCCCCCCCCCCCCCTTCTCTAATTTACCCAATCTCTGAATTGCCAACAATCCTCAAATTCATAATCCCTTTTCTGTAATCAATACATAGTATAAAACAAAGTCGCTTTCGCTGTATGTCCGTATGTATGCTTAGATCTTTAAAACTACGCAACGGATTTTGAAGCGGTTTTTTTTAATAGATAGAGTGATTCTTAAGGAAGGTTTGTATATGCATATTGCACCCGTGCGAAGGCGGGGGCGGGTCGCTAGTTTATATATATAAAGCATAGTCCCATATAAGAATCGAACCCATGACCCTTTGTTCGACATTAACAGTTCGGTACGGCTACCCATTTGAGATGGCAACACATGTATTAAGTACATTAATAAAACCACATAAGAATATGATAAAACAAGATAAACCGCTAAAACTTAAAATCGAAAGTCATTATCACAATTTAGGTAGCTATTCGCGAGATATTAGCACACACATGTACAAAAGATCTACTGGCGACCAAAACAAATATTGTTACGCAATCGATCAAGGCCGGACTAACCAAATGGTTTGTGTCAAAATCAGAAGCCGACTCGAAATATGTTGATATAGGTCTAACATAGATTTAAATGTTTATGAATGAAGTGTACTTCGAACGAACTGATATTATCATTATTTATTTAGGCACTGTATGTTTGTTTGTTTGTATTGATTTGGCTCAGCCGATAATAAACCTTATTTTTCAATCATCAGTTAATTCTTAACTGTAGAATAAATTTTTAATAGACATTTGACTGTTTTAATGTGGATTGTCATGCTCACTCAAAGGTCTCATTGGCGGTGACGCGTGCAGTGGATCGCTTGATTCCCTACAATATGGTTGAGTTGGGCGGTGCTGGTGTACGTGTCATGTTCGTGAACGGGCGCCGTCAACTGGGACTGGTCAGCTCCAGACTGTATCATTTATTGTCTTTAAGGTTATTTTCTTTTTCGATCACTTTGACTAGATTTTAGTGTTACATTGTTCTCGCACAATCCAAACAGCAAACTATGTAACTAGAGAATAGTATTGTGAACCTGATTGAAAAAGAGTAACCGAAGGAGTTTCTTGCTTGTTCTTCTCCATAGGAATGAGCAAATAGCTTCACTTTTAATTTTATTGTTGACGTTCAAAAGTGCCTTTCTGTTCTAGGTAATTGAAATAAATAATTTTGGCTTTGACTTTGACTTTGAAGAATTCTCAGATATTCAAAGTTATTTCTCAGTTCAAATTTATCTGGCGTTAAAAAAATCGGCCCTTAAATGAGCAGTTGTTGTATATGGACAATTGAGTTCAAACTTTGGTCCGAATTGTTATATTTCTTCTGTTTTCCATGTTATCTATTTTGTTCTATTTTATTTCTTATTTATTGTTCACTAGCTTTTACCCGCGGCTTCGCTCGCGTCACAAAAGGATAAAAGTAGCCTATACTAATACACACAGCGCCATCTATACCAATTTTCCCGCGGGAATACCAAAATTTTCCGGGATACCCTATTATTTAATCCGGACTTCTAATTTTACGTCTGCAAAAATTCAAAGCAATCGGTTTAGAAGTTACGGCGTGAAGGCGGAACAAACAAACAAACAAAGAAACTCACTTTCTCATTTATAATAGTAAGGATTATTTTTTATACGCTTTTGTTTTTGTTCTAAAAGAAATGATGTACTAAAACAAACACTGAGTAGAACTTCGGTCATCTATGTTCAGCATTATTAAAATTTGCCATTATCATAGCCCGTCACAATCCACTGTTGAATACTGGCCTTCTTTTCACAAGAGGGACTAAGAAGGACCTATGTCCAGCAGAGGACGTCTTCCGGCTGTTGATAATGATGATTCACAAGAGAGTCTGCGCTTAGCACTACAGCAGGCAGATAGAAAATTATAACATAACATAACATCATGCCTTTTATTCCCGAAGGGGTAGGCTGAGGTGCACATTATGCCACAGTACAATGTAACACCCAATTTTCACTATTTGTGGGCTAAATGGGTGATCCTATTGCCACAATTCCAGACTCCGTGCTACTACTGAGAATTATGTAAAAACCTAGTAATACTTAGCGCGACCCGGGAATCGAACCCGAGACCCCTTGCCCGGCAGTCGCACTTGCGACCACTCGGCCAACGAGACAGTCTAAAGAAAAAAGATTTAGAAAATTAAAGTTTAGTATATTAGCATGCGAGTTGTTAGTTTATATAGGAGAGTACAATCAGCTTTTCCTACGTGATTAATTTGTGCTCTAAAGACCAAAATGTTGTTTTTGATCGTGCGAACAGCTATTAAATCGCCTGAAGTCATTAAAATCGCAAATTGCGGTGTGATCCAACTTCACAATTCCCGTAGTACTTTGATCTTGGACAATAGTAGATTTATCGACGAGATAACGAAACGAATGGCTATCATGAGTTCAGCAATGGATAATATCAAGAAAAAACGGACACTCGTCAGCTCGAATCTGACTAGAATACCGCATCCACTTCATCTCCAGGAGTTCCTTGATCGACCCACTTTAATTGACGTCTTCTAAGTTAACCAAGATATACCAAAAACCTTTTTTTATTTAAAAAAAAAAAAAGAAACGTTGCCCCACAGTAGGATTATTATCTGTGTCGTGGGTGCGTTTACAAACATACAAGTTCACATAGACATGACCCAGTCCCGAAACAACAATTTGTGGATCGCACAAAGTGTTGTTCCGTGCGGGAATCGAACCTGCGACACATTGCACGGCAGCCGGTTGCCCAGCCACCGCACCAACCGTGCAGTCATTTACGTGTACAACCTTTACCTATCTGATACGAATTGGTATCAAAATACTTGACATACATATTAACGTATAATAATTACTGACCAAAGTATATCCTAGTTTAATAGTTTTGTTGTATTTAATAACAATAATAATCATGATGTTATAATGTTTGTCCACAGGTTTAGTGAAGTAGTGCCGGACAGTAATGTAATGCAATCATGGATCCGCAAGAATTAGTACCTTTGGAATGTAAGTTATTACCTAATCCCTACCTTATAGCTATGAGCAAATAGCTTCACTTCTAATTTTATTGTTGACGTTCAAAAGTGCCTTTCTGGTCTAATTGAAATAAATGATTTTGACTTTGACTTTTGACTTTGACTTTGACTTTGAAAAATAATCCTTACTTCCTTACTAATATTATAAATCGGAAAGTGAGTTTGTTTGTTTGTTCCACTTTCACGCCGTAACTACTTAATCGATTGCTTTGAATTTTTGCAGACGTGAAGTTAGAAGTCTGGATTAAATAATAGGATACTTTTTATCCCGGAAAAAAAAATGATATTCTCGAGGGAAAACGAAATTATTGGTATAGATGGCGCTGTGTGTATTGGTATATGTCATATAGGCTACTTTTTATCCTTTTGTGACGCGAGCGAAGCCGCGGGTAAAAGCTAGTATTACATAAAAATGAAACCTGTTTCCCGTTGTCACGCCATAACTTGAGAATGGCTGGACCGATTTGGCTGATTTTTTTTTTGTTGTGTTTGTTATTGTCAGGAGAAGGTTCTGATGATAGAAAAAAAATCCAGAAAATCTTATGGGAACGGGAGAAAACGGGATTGCGCGTACGAAGTTAGAAGCTAGTATTCTATAGATTTCATATAGTACTAATTTTTTCCCTTAGAGAATAAGAATTACATCACGTAATAGGAAGGACCATATTGCTATTCAAATTACCAAACTTTCAACCATAAAGATTGTTTTTAAACTGGAACTCTTTATAGCTTCCTAGACTGTCTCACTTACGATCACTCAACTAACAACGCAGCAAGATCAAGGCATATCTTTATATCACATATCTATAATTCTCCTGTGAGTGTGTATGTCACTAAACTTCTCTCAAACGACTGGACCGATTTTGATGAAATTTTTTGTGCGTGTTCAAGGGGATCTGGGAATGGTTTAGATTCACAAATCAACCCGGCAGATGGCGCTGCAGTCAATGTTTAGGTTATTTATCCTAAACAGCTGAACTAATTTGAATGATTTTTTGTTTATACATTTAAGTGGATATGCAGGACAACGTCTGTCGGGTCCGCTAGTAACGATATAAATTAAAAAAACAGTTTAAAGAAAAATTAAATAGATTGGTTGGACTCCTTAAAACAAGAAGTTAGGTATTTTTTTATGGAATAAAAGGCAAACGAGTAGACGGATCACCTGATGGTAAGCGATCAGCGCCGCCCATGGACACTCGCAACACCAGAAGAGTCATAGGTGCTTTGCCAGCCTCATAAAAAGGAATACGCTCTTTTCTTGAAGGTTCGAAGGTCGTATCGGTCGAAATAAAATCAGGAAATATGACTATCGGTATGTTCCGTTGTCTGTGCTCCCTTACCGCTGAGGATTGTAGTTCCGTAGACAATAACACGCCTCTGTCGGCTACTCTCTAATCGACATTACAAATGATGATGACTAAAATTCTACAGCGGGCCTCCCCCTCCCGCGCCCCCACCATGGGACCAGGAACTGCTACCTGGCTCCTCGCACCTGCTACACAGCTCCACTCCGCCTGTGTCGGCTACTGGCGCTACTCTTCGGGATGCCCACCGTATTCCTCATGGTACCACTGTATTTAAGGTAAGGGAGATTATTATATAATACTTATTCACGTAACGGCAAACCTATAAGCCCCAGTCAGACTTGAATTTAGTTGAGCATCCTCGATAAATTTACGTGAGGGAATCAATTACCCATTTTAATTATTGGAGATTTTTTTTAGCTAACCCGTATTGAACAAGCGTGGTGATGAATGCTCTAACCTTCTCGGAGCGAGAAGAGGCCTCTGGTCAGCAGTGGCCACTTGTAGCTTGTTGATGATGAATGATTTCTTTTTTAATTTAACAAATGTGATAAGCCTGTTCTAAAACATTTTCTATAAGATAAAGATAAGATTATCATTGAGTTGGCTTGGTGTGAGCTTTAACATAATTTGTTGGATGTCAGTGTTCATTCTACAGATTGATCACCGTCTGAATTAAACAGATATCAACACGATTTTGTGTCAATATGACTTTCTATACTTTCTAATCATCATAGTCATCAACAGCTTTGCTCAGCAGTAGGCATTTATAGGCTGATTTGCTGTTACTTCTTACACGGAGAAGGTTTGAGCATTAATCACCACGATTGCTCAATGCGGGTTGGCGATTTCAAACTTATAATTAGAAATTATAAGTCCAGTTCACCGTTTGTCAGTGGTGCATTAATGTCCTTATAAAGTACATATAACTTGGAAAAAGTCACATTGGTGGTTGCTGTTGGTAGGTTAGGAACCCACACCCTCATGTATGAGAAGCGGCTTTACGTCAGGGCCACCAAGACCTGCTCCCTGCTCAAAAAATATATTATCTAATGGCTTTTCAAAAAAATTGTCTATTTTCAAAACAAGACCAGACGTAATGCTATGCATAACAAATTAAACTAAGTATGTACATACCTCTCGACATCGTTATTACATGACAATATTATCAGTACTTAATAGAACAGTCTTGTAGACACAGACTGATGTGTCTGTCTGTCTGTCTGACACTTGAAACTAAAGTGCTGGTCGATAACCTTAACGTCTGAGCTTCTATTGTTAAATACTGCATTATAATATACCTATACAAATAGAATACACGATAGTGGCATCGAGTGTGGAGAAATTGTCGGAAGACTTAACTAATAACCGGAACTCTGGTGTGAACAGCAGGAGTAAGAACGGGGTGGTTTTTAGTCAGTTAGATTCTGACACTCTCTCTCACTCCTTCTCCTGCACTTCAAGCCGAAGCCCCGGTAACCCGTTAGGTCATTGGGCCCCATTCGTGGTGGTCTGATGGCTCTTTGAGGCGCGCGCGGAACACGACGCGCCGTACGCTCGGGTCTAGTTCTGGTCGGGCGGAGAGCCATCCATGCTCGCCGTCCGCAGGCCCGCGCTTACGGTGGGCGGAGATCGTCGCACGATCGCCGATGCCGAAGTGTGCTTCGCAATGGCTGGGTTGCGAGGAGGCAGCGCTTCGCTGCCTCGTCCTCATTTACTTAGAACACCCACTTCATCACCGGCTCTCACAAAAATTCTCTCATCAAAATATGCTGTGATTATTAACGATTCTGATACCGACTAAAAATATCTTTGTGTATGTAATAATTTGTAACAATTAAATGATAAAAGTAATTATATAGCTGTGTACAATCCTTCACTGTTGACATACATATACGGCATCGAGTTGATAAGACTACAACAAGTATTGTCTCAACACTCGACATCTTTGTTTTTTAATCTACTCGTGCTATAATATTATTATTGGTCCTTTATATGTATTATAGTTGAGATCTGTTCTCGTTGGCCGTTGGCCGAGAGCAAGTGCGACTTCTGGGCAAGGGGCCTCGGGTTCGATTCCCGGTTCGGGCACAGTAATACTGCACGGTTGGCACGGTGACTGGGCAACCAGCTGCCGCGCAACGTGTAGCATGTTCGATTCCCGCCCTGAGCGTGAGCGAGCTTTGTGTGATCCACAAATTGTTTTTCTGGATCCAGCCATGTGTATGTGAACTTGTGTGTTTGTAAACGCGACACAGGAGATAATCCTAGTGTGGGGCAACGTTTTATAAAAAAAAAATACTGGGTCTTTTAATAATTCCTCAGTAGCAGCACGAAGTTTGGAATCGTGTCCGGTATAATACATATATCAGTAGGTTTACTCCCTATTGGACTTATAATAAGATAAATAGTGAAAACCTCACTCGCACGAAGAAACATAACGCAAGCGTTGTTCCATGTCAGTTTTCTGTGAGCCCGTGGTATCGCTCCGGTCGAGCCGGCCCATTCGTGCTGAAGCATGGCATAATGATTGTCTTTTTGTTACAGATATCGGGTGTTCCTTGGCCAGATGTACCCGATGAGTATGACAGACATGCGGCTGATAGATAGTAAGATATCGCCCACTTGGTGCCAGGTAGGTGTGTACCGTTGTACGTCACTATATCATATCATATCAGACACTTCATCATCAATCTCTGTGTGTAATCACTTGATGACCACGGCTTGGTCTAGTGGCGCGCCTGTGCAGCTCATGTTATATTTTGTATAATATTATTTATTCAATTATTCATAAACTCACGCCTCTCTCCCATGGGGATAGGCAGAGACTATGGAACGTCAATTGATACGATTCTTACATACTTCTTTCGGTTCCTCAACAGTCATCAGTCTTTTCATGGATGCTCGTCGGTTAACGATACTTTAAATTTTGTAATCAGGGATTATATTTAGGAACTATATAATTTTCACTACAGTTTTTCATTTACTACTAGCTCCTTGTTATTATAGAAAATTCATTAGATTAAATAAAAAAACCTAATGTCCTTCGCTGGCTACATCATCACTTACCATTAAGTAAGATGGTGGCCAAGCGCCAAAAGTTAGATGTAAAAAAATAAGTACTAACTATAGACCAAGTCAATGCATGAAGGACCATGGTCTTAGTCTATCAGTAGACGTCTTTCCGCTGTTGATGATGTTGATGAAGTTAATACCTTAGACATTTAACTATTCAATCAAGATCCAGTGATATTATTTTTAATTGTAATCTTTTGTAATCAATACCTACTATTATACTTTATTTTACCTACTACATATTAACGTTTAGCAAATAGTGAGTCATAGTCGCTATCTATCAATATTCATTAAAAGATAAAGATAAAGATCTTTATCTTTATCTTTATCTTTATCTTTATCAATATTCATTGAATATTATTCACGTTGTAGGTACTATATTATAATAGCTATGCAGTTAATATGAGATAAGCAGCACACGTGCCTTCTAATGACAGAGGAACAAACAATTATCGTTTTCCAATATTTAGGGCAAGGTAGAATTCTGATTCTGATGTCTACCTCGGAATCAGAAATCTAGAGAATTGGCACAGTACCTATATGACAATTGGAACGGCGGAGGACTTAATAGGTCGCCGGGGCTCCGGCTCCAAGAAGAGCAGAAGTAGGACTGGGTGGTTTTCAGTCAGTAAGAGTCTAAGACTCTCTCTTGCCCCATTCAAGGCGGGAGAAATCATTGGATGATTTTCCCCCTCAAAAAAGTGTATGGCAATTAACAGTCAAACAATCTTACAAATTCTTGACTGATTATAAAATTTCTTTCACAATAGGGTAGTTTTGCCAGGGTATGAAAATTAAAAATCTAATTAGTCCGTCAGTTAGGTAATGAAAAAATATTAGACACATATTTTTTATTTTGTCGTATATAGTTACAATACTTAAATAAAATGGCGTTACGTTTAGGAGTGGGACGTTATGACTCGTTACGTCAAAACGTGCTATACAATGTAGCACGCTGTGACGTCACACGATATTTCAAATTAAAATGTCGTCGAAAGTAGAGGTAATTAATTTTGTGAGAAGAAAAAAATACATTGCTAGTGTTTTAAATTAATTTACTAAGCAGACATTAGAATAAAATTTACGAAACTACCCTATTGTCAATCTTACTTTGGGGGAGTGATATAAAGCTACTTTCTATCTTGATATTCCTAAAAGATTAGCAATCAGGACCGACTCGAGAGTTACTATATGTATCTAGTATGAGAGACATTGTCTAGTGTGTGCACTGTGCACGTCACAAAGATATTGCTTTTATAATATGATACTGAACTGATTATAGTAATAAATAAATTTATTTTCTTTATTTCAAAAACAATTTACATTGTGTGTGAATCAAAGCTTAAAACTAATAACACCAGTAGTACAAAAAGAGAGAAAAAAAAAACACATTTCCTAAATCGAATTACAATTAAAATTATTGCCAAAATAACTGATCTCATAACGACAAAATTTATGTGACACAACTACATTAATACATTGATACACTGTTCAATAAGTATACCCAATAAATACAATACAATACAAAACCATATAATACATGTCACAAAATCAAATCTACTATGAATGTCAATAAAAAAGATCAATATTAATATAAAGTAGGTAATTACAATGTCAACAGAGAATTATCATCAACAATGTCAAAGAAAAAAACAAAAACAAAAATTAATAAATAAATAAATATTATATATGTGACTAAATGCTGTGCAATTAACAGTAACACAATAACAGGTATTACACGTGTTAAAGCCATACACAGCTCTTATTCATCGGGCAAATTATCTGGGTTTTTAGAAAAAAATCTCAGTAGTAACACGGAGTATGGAATTGTGCCCGGTATATGGCAATAGGCTCACCCCATATTACATGGAACTCGTAACATAAATAGTGAAAAGTGGGTGTTACATTGTACAGTGGCATTAAGTGCCGTAATGTCCACCTTTGTCTACCTCTTCGGGGATAAAAGGCGTGTTGTTATGTTATGTGAAAACATAACGCCTCATTTTACTCATTACCAAAAATACTGCTGCATTTTGTTAGTACTTTAATCCAAAAAGTAGTTTATTTGTTTGTTAAGTTAGGTACTTCTTTTTCATCATCATCAACAGCTTCTAAATGCCCACTGCTGAGCAAAACCTTTTCTCACTCATGCGTCTTAAACCTCCGGGCCACCACGACCTCTTCCACAAATATTCTTCAAATTGTGCTTAGATTTAGTTTAGAGAACCTAAAGAGACATTAGCTACTTTTCACCGCATACAATAGTAAACGTATCTAATAACTACACAATATCCTTCAAGTTAACTACATAATTATTATGTTTTCGGCTAACTGGTCGCCGCGTCGCAGGTCGCGGAATGCTGCTCATGAATAAGAGCCTCTAGTATGGCTTGAAACTAGTCGAGTTCCTCGTCAAATAATTACGTGAGTAAGCCGAAAACATAATAATATATTTAGTATGTCTCACGAAACTTATAATACAAGTTTACAACAATTTAGACTATTAAGAAATAAATACTAAATACGATAACGGTAACACGATTTTTCTTACACACTAAAATGCTCTTTAACTTACCAATAATACAATTCAAATTAGCTGTATCAAAGAAGTATAATTTTTAATGTTCCGACCGATAACGTTATCTTGTTCAGTTTATCTTTAAGTATAGTTAGTTTTAAACACAAAAATATATGTTTTACAAGTTGTTATTAAGTGTGTAGACATTATAGAACATATTATTTTTTTTAAAGAGTAACGAATGGAGTTTCTTGCTCGTTCTTCTCCATTCGAATCTACATTTTGGACTGACAGACTATTATTTATTTCGTATTTGTTGACGTTGCAAAAGTACCAAATTATGGTTTAATTGAAATAAATGTTTTGACTTTGACTTTGTAAGTAAGCATGCAGACTTAGAATCAGTAGGTAACACTTAGAATCAAAAGGTAGTGGGTAGTAATATCCACATAATTTTTGGATAACCTAAACTTAATCTAACTGCAGTCCCGAAACTCCCTAAAAAACATTGAATTTATGGCAACTGGAATTTATGTAGACACATAATACAGTGTACAGAGGGATTCTTCTTCATGAGTAGCGTACGGAGTTGCCGCGACTTGTCTGACTCGACTTCTCTCAGTCAAAAGTGAAAATCATTTATTTCAATTAGACCAGAAAGGCACTTTTGAACGTCAACAACAAAAAAAATAAAATTAAAAGTGAAGTTATTTGCGCATTCCAAGGCGTAGATTCCTATGGAGAATAACGAGCAAGAAACTCCATAGGTTACTCTTTTTCAATCATGTTCACAATTCAATTTTCTAGTTACATATTTTTATTGTTTGGAATGTGCGAGAACAATGTAACACTAAAATCCAGTCAAAGATATCAAAAATCCAGCCAAAGAGATCGAAGTTAGTATATTTACATGCGTTTTTGGTTTGCATTTTCAGTTAATTCAGTATGTCTTAACAAGAATTATGCTGTTTTCTATTCCAATACACTAACCTTTTTTCTCTATTAGAGACAAGTGGTGCGTTCAAACACGACGTTCAACGCGTTCGTGGTGCCTGGCCCGCCGGAGCTGACTGACGAGCTAGTACCGGTGTCCATGACGAGGGAGCTGGAGCTAGACGATGATATGAAGGAGTACTGGGGGTTCTATCTGTTGAAGGGATCCTCGGTCACCGTGTCTGCTTGTGTGAGGTGAGATTGTGAACTTCCCAAAACCGCTGCAACGCCTGTAAGCCAGGATCTACAGTAGATAAAACTATGAAAACACCGGAACATTGAAGTCCGGCGCGTCCCAGGGACATGAGTTACTGTCTTGGTTCCCGCAACGAAGTGAATCAGAAGATAAAGAGGAGAAGAAAAAAAAACGATAGTTTCCTCTTCCCTTGATGAATTACTGCAGGAGACAGAATTAATATAGTATTTTTTATAGAAAATTCTGGTGTGGAGCAACCCACACTAGGATTTTCTCCTGTGTCTTGGGTGCGTTTATAAACATACACGTTCACATACACATGACACCCAGATCGGAAACAACAATTTGTGCATCACACAAAAAATTGTTCCGTGCGGGAATCAAAACCGCGACTCGTTGCGTGGCAGTCAGTTACCCAGGTACCGCACCAACCGTGCAGTCAAATTTGTTTCGTTTAGCAGTTAAATTTGTTTATACAGATTTGTCCAAGCAAAGAAGAGGTATTTGTTTAGATAAATCAGCCAAATTACAAGTAGGTATTACCGACTTCATTATTTGAGAGGTTTTATCATATTCAAATTTATTCGACATCATTTTAAAGACTACGACTTTATTATCATCTTCTGATATCGGACTAAGATCTCATTTGTGCTCAAACAACCTCTCCAGTTCCGGCCACAGAACTACATAATTGTATTTCTGTCCTTTGTGAGCCTTTGAGAATCCAATTTATTTCCATCAATCAATACTTCACATGTCCTAATTACCTCATATGAAAACAAAACAGCTGATGCTCTTTATCATCTATCTATCTTACTTCCAGCTACCCTGGTGCATCCCTCATCATGATCAAAGGATACAAGCACCTACAAGACTGCGCCTACATAGGCGATGACTCTTCAGAAGAGATCAATGAACTAATCGAAGCCAACAGACTCGGTCTTTTATCTGATGATGCGCTGAATAAAAAAATATCCGAACTGAAAGTGGAGAATGGAAAAGTCAATAATCCAGGTAAGTTTTAAGTAGGTATTTTTATGGAATAAGCCGGTAAACGAGCAAACAGATCACCTGATGGTAAGCAATTGCCGCCGCCCATGGACACCCGAAACCCCGGAGGCGATACAAGTGCGTTGCCAACATTTTAGGAATTTGAGGATTATTAGGGATTTTGAGATTGGAAAGGGGGAGAGGAGGTAATTGTACCTCCTGTAACCTCACTCAAACGACGAAACACAACGCAAGCGTTGTTTCATCAGGTTTAGACAAAGTTAGTTCAAATGAAATTTGTTGTTGGATGAATAAAGTAGTAATGAAAGCGAAAAGGATAATGAGATGATGAGTGACAATGAAATAGATAAATATGTTGTAAGAATATAAATGATAAAGAACTGATATTATTATTTCTTATTAACAGTCAGACTGCCTCGCTGGCCGAGTGGTCGCAAGTGCGACTGCCGGGCACTGGTCTCGAGATCAATTTACGGGTCGGCCAAAGCATTACTGGTTTTTTTTTAATTTTCAGTAGTAGCACGGAGTCTGGAATTGTGCCCGGTATATGGCAATAGGCTCACCACCTATTACATGGCACTCATAACATAAATAGTGAAAAGTTGGTGTTACTTTATACAGTGGTTTAATGTGCGCCTCTACCTATCCCTTCGGGGATAAAAGGCGTGATGTTATGTTATTAACAATCAGAATCACAGGAAACGAAATACAGTAAAAACCACATACCTCTAGTAGAAGGTATCAAAACCACATTAGAATTCAAGTAACGATAAAAAGACATCTATATAGAGGTATATAAAAGAAAGTCGTGTTAGTTACACGTTACACCACTTATAACTCAAGAACGGCAGAATAGATTTGGCTGAAAATTGGTAGAGAGGTAGCTTAGAGCCAGGAGACCGACATAGGATACTTTTTAACCAACATTTTTTTTTACTATTTTCCGAAAATGACGAACGGGAACGGGGGGAAAATGGAATTGCGCGTACGAAGTCGCGGGCAGAAGCTAGTTGTTTAAAAACAATTGGTCTTACAAAACTTTAACAATTCACTTTTCATCAATAGAAACAATGAAGAGACACAAGTCTGGCGTCAGTTTCCATGATCCGAAGAACCATGTTGATGAGAACGTGACATCAACATCATCGGAAAACTTAGCCACAGTAGACGTCACTGACCATGATCCTAAGGTAAGAGAAAAGTCTATTAATAAGTAAAACTCATTTGTTTTTCTTCAACCATTTCGCTCGTTGACTAACGAAAGAAGAACACAAACACAAATTCAGAAAATTCTGGAATATTTCCTATTCTCACCTATTCTTGCTGAACAGCAGTGAATTGCTGAACAAAGGTCCTCGTTAGAAGACGTTTGCCATCACTTCACACACCCTTTTTTTTTAAGGGGAAAAATCATCGAATGACTGCTCCCGCCTGGGTGAGGCGGGAGGGAGTGTCAGACTCTTACTGACTAAAAACCACCCCGTTCCTTCTCCTGCGCGTCGAGCCGGAGCCCCGGTTACCCGTTAGGTTCTCCGCGACTCCGAATCCTTCACACACCCTTGGGATGTGACTTGGAGTACATAGTTAGGTCCTGAAAATTAAAGAGAGCCCACGATATCTGGTCGCAGTTGTACGACGTATTTAATACCATGGTCCACAGAAAACATCTGTCTTACCTATTTTAAGTTATGCATGCAGATAGCTGATAAAAGTCATTGAGGGAGGCGAACTATGTTCAACAGTGAACGTCTTATGCCTGACGTTATGATGATAATGATAATGATGAAACTTAACTTCTAGGAGCTTCGAGAAATTCTAGAACGTCTCCACGCTCTACGAGAAGCTGCGAAGATCCAGATAGCTAAGAACTACCGGCCACCATCAAACATCATGTCTCTGCCGGCGCTGCACAGGCATAGGGATGCTAATGTCGATAAGGAAGAAAGAAAATGGATTTCTTTTCAAGGTACCACCATTTTGTTTGAAAGTTTTCATAAAATACTTAGACGTCAAAAAAATGCATAATTTACTATGCCAGTCTACTTATAAATGACTATCTGTTGCCGGCGACTTTGTCCGCGTACAATACGAATATTAGAAAATACCTTTTATTGTTACAATTTGCCAAAATAATCTTGCTTCATGCCAATAAAAGTCTTGCAAAATCGGTCCAGCACTTCTAGATATTAGCCAGTACAAACACACACCAAAAATTGTAAAAAATGTTATTTTGGTATGTGTATCTTATGTATATTCATGTGCATGTAGTAAAAAGTGGATTTTTTAATATTACAAACAGACTCTCCAATTTTATTTATCTGCATAAATACACCTCGCCTGTAAATATTGAAAAGAGGTAAATTTATAGGTGTCTTTATAAAACTAAGTTTCTAGATATGGCCACAGGTGGCGTTTTGGTTGTCTTTGTCTTCCTTTTTCGTTTCTCCATTTTAATTTGTAATAGCTGTTGTTTTTCTATTATAATAAAAGTGTTGAAAGAAATCTTATTCAAATTAATTGAAACCACTCAATACCTGAATAGTAAAGCCTCCTTACATTTTATATGCTTCAATAGACTTCAGGGATTTTTCTTATCATCTTAGTTTTTTGAAGTTACATTTTCTGAAGTTACTCAATTGGATTATCATCAACAGCCTATAAATGCCCACTGCTGAGTAAAGCCTCTTCTCTCGCGGAGAAGGTTTGAGCATTAATCACCGCGCTTGCTCAATGCGGGTTAGCAATTACAAACTTATAATTAGAAATTATAAGCCTAGGTTTCCTCGTAATATTTTCCTTCACCGTTTGTCAGTGGTGTCTAAATAATCTTAAGAAGTACATATAACTCGGAAAAAGTCACATTGGTTCTTGCCGTTGGTAGGTTTCGAACCCGCACCCTCATGCATGAGAAGCGGGCGTCTTAAACCTCCGGGCCGCCACGACACTTTTACACTATTTTTAAAAAAACTCTAAACGATAACAATTACAATGATGTTAATAAAAACACAAAATACTAAAGATTACTGAGCAAGTAAAATTCCGAAATACTCGATAAAGTTGACAGTATTGAATACAATAATCCCTATAACTCTTCATTTGAATGTCAAAGAAAATTTATCTTAACGGGAATGTATTATGATTATATCAGTAGGCTGAACAATTGATAGATGCAGTCTTATATATTTAGATTTATCTTGATACGTTGATGTATTGATAGACCAATGAAACATTTCGTAATTCTAAAGATAATGTTAGTGAAATTCATATTGAAAGAAAAGAAATGGGTGATAATATTACATCAGATTTTAAAACTAATGAAGATGAAGTTGTTTTTTCGGAATAAACCGGTAAAAGAGCTGACGGATCACCTTATGATAAGCAATCGCCGCCGCTCATGGACACCCAAAACACCAGAGGCGTTACAAATGCGTTACCGGCCTTTTGGGAATTAGGAATTTGAGGATTGTTAAGGATCCGAGGAATGGAGAGGTTAGATAGAGTAGGGTGATTGGGCCTCTGGTAACCTCACTCACACGACGAAATACAACGCAACTGTTGTTTCGCAGTAAGGCCGTGGTATAACTCCGATCGAGCCGGCCCATTTGTGCCAAAGCATGGTTCTCCCACACTTAGTATCACACTTAGATATTAGTAATCAGATAAGTGGACAAACAGAAATACTTTCTTATGAACTTGACGTTCTTCAAGTCAGCCTACTCAAGTTACGGAGCTCCGGCTTGAATCAGGAGTACGAACGGAGTAGTTTTTAGTTAGTAAGGGTCTGACCTCTCACCTTCCTCAGGGCAGGAGGAGTCATTGGATGATTTATTCCCTTACAATAATGCCTCATCATCAACAGCCTATAAGTAGCCACTGCTGACCAAATGCCTCTCCTCGCACGAAGAAGGTTTGAGCATTAATCGCTGCGCTTGCTCAATGCGGGTTGGCGATTTCAAACTTGAAATTAGAAATAATAAGCCCAGGTTTCCTCACGATGTTTTTCTTTACCGTTTGTCAGTGTTGTCTAGATAATCTTAGAAAATATGTATGACTCGGAAAAAGTCACATTAGTACTGGCCGTTAGTGGGTTTTGAAATCGCATAGATGAGAAGCCGGAAAAAATGCCTTGATTCTGGTTAAATAATAATATCATTGTAACTAAGGACTGACACCAATGTAATAATTATGATAACTACCGTTAATTATAAATATACATTATCTGATGTTTAAAAAACCTACAATCCCAATTTTGATACAAAACATGTAATATTTTTCAAAACACATCAATAAAAGCTTCTAGATAAAGTAGCAACGATTATTTGCCTTTGGAGCGACGTGCGCCAAGATATAGTTAATAAAATTGTGATAATATTTCGTAAGTCATCGTGAACTCAACAGATTCTGTTAATATCTGTTAATAAAGATGTTCAACAACAACTGTACTAAAAAAACAAAAAAACTAATATCGCATCGCAACAAACAAATGATGATTCTTTCATAATTACATAACATCACGTCTTTTATCCCCAAAGGGATAGGCAGAGGTGCACATTGCGGCTCTTACTGCCTCTGTACAATATTATTACACCCACTTTTTACTATTTATGTTATGAGTCCCATGTAATAGAGGGTGATCCTATTGCCATATACCGGACACAATTCTAGTCTAGTGAGATATTTAAAAACACCCAGTAATATTTCGCCCGATCCGAGAATCGAACCCGAGACCCCTTGCCCGGCAGTCACACTTGCAACCAGTCTGCCACCGAAGCAGACACTATAAGTAAATCTAAAAATCTCTTATTTACAGATATCGATGGGAATGCTAGCGAAATATTAACAAAATTAGAAATATCTACAACAGAGACTGTGCCTACTGAAGGCAAACACGAAACTCTCAAAGAAGAAAAGCCCAATAATACTACACCAACATTATTAACTAAATTAATAGGTAAAACAGAAGTCAAAACAACCACAGAAGATATCACAAAGCCAGAAGAAAACAACAAAGTTTTAACTAGTCAAGAAGAAAAAAGTAAAACAGATCATAATAAAAATGTCAAGGAAGAAGATAATTTAGTCGTAGTAGAAAATGAAGAAGAATTAACATCAGTAGCAATAGAAGATACACAGGGTGATCTGAAAATTGTTGCTACGGATTATACATCTGAGGTAAGTCAATAACATTCTGTTACTATAATTGTATCTCTAATTTCTAGTTCTTTCACGTAAAATATGCTCAAGAAATTGGGATGAAACGCGTGGATATAGAACATGCTGTTAATAACCATAAATAAAATACTATCGAATATCAAGAAACCTTTCTAACTCGACCTTTAATGTCTAATGCTGACTTAAAACCTTAATTGGATGTTATTTTATGAATGGCAGATGGCAAAAATGGGGATGATGACAGGGTATGAAAATTAAAAATCTAATTAGTCCGTAAGTTAGGTAATTAAAAAATATTAGACACGTATTTTTTTATTTTGTCGTATAATAAAACAATACTTAGATAAAACGAATCAAAGTTTAGGAGTGGGGGCTAAAACGTCATTTCTCAGTATAAAATGTACTGAGAAGTGACGTCACGCGACATTTCAAATCAATATATCTTCGAAACTATTCGTTTCCGTAAGAAAATAAAAAATACGTGTCTAATGTTTTTAAATAATCTACCAGACGGACATTAAAATAAAAATTAGTCGTCTACCCTATTATCAGTACCGTAATCAATCAAGCCAAAACGAAATAATAATAAAGACACACAATGTCAAACGACAATAGGCGACCTACAAATGACAAATGCTTAAATCTTGCTTAAAACCAATGAAATCTGTCGACGAAGCGGCAACGACTAATCCGCCTATCGTCATTTGCCTCGTGGACGTGGACCCTTTCACAAGACGATCAGACATTGAATGACATTTTTTTTCTTATTTCCTTTTTTAAAAACGTTGCTCCACACTAGGATTTTCTCCTGTGGCGTGGTTGCGTTTACAGACATACAAGTTCACATACACATGACACCCAGACCCGGAAAAACAATCTGTGGATCACACAAAGGCTTGTTCCGTGCAGGAATTGAACCCGCGACACGTTGCGCGGAAACCAGTTGCCTGACCACCGCGCCAACCGTGCAGTCAAATTTAAATATGTCTAACAAGATTATTCAACAAAACTTAACATTGTAAATGTAACCCAAATATTGATAATGTCGTTAGTAAGACAATACATTGGATTACCGCCTTGATAACAGGAATCAACAGAGATAAGGAACTTTCCATTGCATCACGAATCTATTGTTTAGATAGGAAATCTTCTAATCAAAGCCTCAGTGTTTGTCTTTATGTCATTAAACTAGTTTTATACTAGCGAACAACGCATGGATTCACCCGATGCGTCTATTGATCGTATACAATGTAACAAAGAATATGTGCAGCTAGGCTAGGCTAGGCTGAATTTCCGGCCAGCATGGGTGGCTCATCGCCCGACCAGAACCAGACCCGAGCGTACGTACGTCGCGTTCCGCGCGCGCCTCAAAGAGCCATCAGACCACCACGGAGCCGATTCGGAGTCGCGGAGAACCTAACTGGTTACCGGGGCTCCGGCTCGAAGCGCAGGAGAAGGAACGGGGTGGTTTTTAGTCAGTAAGAGTCTGACACTCCCTCCCGCCTCACCCAGACGGGAGCAGTCATTCGATGATTTTCCCCCCTTAAAAAAAGGGTATTCTGAAACTGTTGGAACTTTCAAAATCAGGTCGATCACATTCTCGCCCGTCATTGGTCGCGATTACAAACTACAGCCAATGACATAGCGGAATTTAAAGTTACAAAAATAAATAACTTCTGATTTTAACCCCTTGGATAAGTTGGGGTTAAAACAAAAAAAAATTGCACGATTTTTTCATTAATCACAAACAGTCCACATACCAATTTGCAGCCTTAAAAAATCATGTCAATTCGTCGCTCTGTTTTACCGTAAAAGACAAACAAATAAACAGACACAGAAACTATCTCAATTACAATATTAATATAGATACATAGTAATAGTTCGTTACTCGTGTAATCTTCTTGTCTAGTGCATCGACCTGCCACCTGAACATACAATAAAACAATTGAGAGATTTTCTTAAACACGCAATTGAATTGTTAGAAAATTATCATTATATACTTCTTGGTTTTCGCTCGGGGCTTCACTTGTATGCTTTAGAAGATTGATCTCCGAAGGCTACTTTACTGCTTAACTAGTTCTTTCGTGAAATAAGTATTATAGTCGTTCGACATGCCTTTTATCTGATCCACGTCCATTCGAAGCCGAGCCTGTTGACACTCTACAGACGTCGTCGTTCATAGTGCTAAAATCTTCCAGCGAATCTGCCATGGCTTCAGAACTCTTTGCAGAATTGTCAATAGAATTGAATTATATTACGCCCAAAAAAAAGTAATGCAACTTTCTCTCTAACACAGCCTCTTTAGGTAATAGATGTAGATAACAAAAATGCTATGACATTATTTTTAGACCGAATCAAAACACAGGATGTTCTTGGCATAACTTTGAAACAAAATATTTATTTGGTTCTGTCAATATTTGTAAATATTACAATCATTATGTTGGCAAGTATTTTATTTAGAGAAGTAGAACATTTACATTGAGCTAATATCTTTTAAGACGCGTTTCCTTTTTCATTACCTAATGTGCGACATTTTGATAAGAAGAACAAGAATAATTGGTTCAAACTTGATTTAATTGGTTCAGGAAAAATCAACAACACTTTATGATAGGCAAAAAGTATTTAAGACTTTATAGCTTGGTACATTATGATTGAAATTCCTTTCTAAGGGGTCAATCATAAGTTGAGTCGAGAGTTGTATCATGTAGGTACAACACAAAACTTTTTAGAATCAGTTTCTTCTACCTGGTACCTTAACTCAGAAGTACAAGGTAAACAATTTTTAACTGACTTTTATCTACAGCTCAATTAATTGTCTTTCTCAAAGCATGTATTCTTATGAGATTCTATAGTAAAAATAAGAAGAAAGAATGAAAAGCTGTTTAATTGCACCGTATCAAAATACAAAAAATACGAAATGTAGTAAAAATACAGTGAAAACGGCTGCTACTGTACCATGGCTGCTGAAGACCTTAACTAAAATCCCTTTAGCAGAGGCGTCTTAACGCAGTTAGGCTACTGGCCCGGGTACAGACCACAATTATTCAGAGGACACTAATGATTAATATGGCGACAGGTTTCAGTTTGAGGACTTATTCTTAGAAACTTTAAAGTACTTTCGGCACGAATGGGCCGGCTCGACCGCAGTGATACCACGGCCTCACAGAAAACCGACGTGAAGCAACGCTTGCGTTGTATTTCGTCGTGTGAGTGAGGTTACCGGAGGCCCAATTACCTTCCCCTTCCCCAATGTCCCCAATCCCTGAATCCCCAATAAGCCGGTGACGCACTTGTAACGCCTCTGGTGTTCCAGGTGTCCATGGGCGACGCCGATTGCTTACCATCAGGTGATCCGTCTGCTCGTTTACCGGCTTATGTCATAAAAAAAGTAAGTAATCAGCCGAAAAATAATTCTTGACCATACATTCTTCAGCAGAGTCCAACAAACGGAACGGAGCCGAATTCAAAAGAAGTGTTTGAAGATGTGCTGCACAGACTACAGGCACTGGGAGACAAGGGGAAGAGGGTGCTGATGAGGCTGCATGAGACCATGGGAGTCGAATATGAAGAGGAGGTAAATGTCGATCTTCTTTTCACCAGTAGAGTAGTGATGAGCAGACTTAATTCCAACGAGAGCCTACATAGTTTAAAGACTGTTTTTAGCCAGAGATTGAGCAACACAATGAACTATTTAACTGGATTCATAACAAATGCTTATTTGATTCTACTTTAAATAATTTGTTCTTCTATTTTATAATGCTGAACTACCATGTATTATTTTGTACTCCACAAGGATACTTATCCTTTTTTTATGGCATAAGCCGGTAAACGATCAGAAGGATCACCTGATGGTAAGCAATCGGCGTCGCCCATGGACACCTGGAACACCAGAGGCGTTACAAGTGCGTTACCGGCCTTTTGGGGATTAGGAGTTTGAGGATCGTTGGGGATTCAGGAATTGGGGAGATTGGGGAAGGGGAGAGTTATTGGGCCTCCGGTAACCTCACTTACACGACGAAACACAACGCCTTGCTTCACGTCGGTTTTCTGTGAGGCCGTGGTATTTAAATAATTCGTTCTTCTAATTTATAATGCTGAACTACCATGGATTATTTTGCACTCCATAAGTATCCTTTTACATTAATTTCATTCCATGTCTGAAACTTTGTTCACTACACAATTACAGACACCAGCAACCAAATCGAAGCCGGACATCATGTCGGTAGTGACGGGCAGTGGTGAGGAGTTGGACAGGCTGCGGCGAGTGCTGGTGGAAGCCATTGACGAGGAAAAGAACAGGTCGCAGAGAGAACGTGAGTAGCTAAATATCAAAGCTTGACGCATTTTTTTAAGGGGTTAAAATCATCGAATGACTGCTCCCGCTTGGGTGAGGCGGGAGGTAGTGTCAGACTCTTACTGACTAAAAACCACCCCGTTCCTACTCCTGCACTTCGAACCAGAGCCCCGGTAACCCGTTAGGTTGTCCGCGACAAGTTTGATGCATAAAGTGCTGTTCTGATAGAGTAGTTGGTGTAATATTTTAAAGTTAAAAGGTGTAATTGAATTACTACATGGTCGACAACGTGCTTGCAATGCCTCTGATGTCGCTAGAGTACATAGGCCACTCTTTATGGGTTACGACGGCATACTAGTAGACGCATCAACTGATACGCATTTGGCACTATCCATGGAGACCCAAAATACCAAATGATTTGCAAGTGCGTTGCAGGTGTTGACAAAGGGTGAGAGAAAGCATCGTAAAGAAACCTGGACTTGTAATTTCTAATAACAGCTTTGAAATCGCTGACTCGCATTGAGCAAGCGTGGTGATTAATGCTCAAACTTTCTTCGTGAGAGAAGACGCCTTAGGTCAGTAGTGACCACTTATGGCGATTGATGTGATGTGAGATGTGTGCCGACATTTTGGAGTTCAGGGGTCTGAGGATTAGGGATTTAGGGATGGGTATAGGATTGAGCGTGTAGGTTTTGTTAATTTTCATACAATTCTACTTACACTATGCATTAGGGAATAATTATAGTATGTTACGCTACAAAGTATTTGTAATAACAACGTAATCAATTGTTCTTCGATAAAAGCGCTTTAATTTATTGTCCCGGAACACTTTATCGCTCTGCTATTTATACTGTCTATGCTATAAATAGATAATGTAGGAACACATAATTGTAATGCAGTAATTTAACAGCAGATTTCTTTGAAAATCATGGAAAGTAATAAAGTTTTATCTGTACCTACGTTCACTGTACTACTCTTTGCCTGGTATGATGATGATGATAACGTTAACGCAGTTGTAATCGTAATATAACAATCTTATGATTTGTTGAGGTACAACACTGTGTTGTGACGACACACATACACACATCATCAGCCTATAAGAGCTTACTGCTGAGCAAAGCCTCTTCTCGCGAAGCTTGGGCATTAATCGCCACGCTTGCTCAATGCGGGTCTGATTTCAAACTTATAATTAGAAATTATAAACTCAGATTTTCTCACAATGTTATCCTTCTCCGTTTGTCAGTGGTGTCTAGATAATCTTAGAAAGTACATATAACTTGGAAAAAATCACATTGGTACTTGCCGTTGGTAAGTTTCGAATCCTCATGCATAAGAAGCGGGAGTCTTAACTTCCAGGCAACCACGACTCCAGGCCACCACAACGCGTATCATGTAATGTCCAAAATAAATAATTGTGGTTGGCGTTTGCTCATTAGACGACTTTCTTCATGTGCGACGATCCTACTGTATTCTGATGTTATGGGAGACGGTAGTTATGATTATCCCTTACCGGGAGCATTCACGTGTAATGTAACATCATAGATTCGACTTTGAGCATTTCATAGCAAAATGCCATGAAATACATTGATGTTACAAGTTGTATCAAGATACATATTACACACTGTATCATTACAAGGTGAGCATTGTAATGCTCGGTTCTCCTCCTTCACTGATGTCATGCTCAGATCTGTAACGTTATATTACACGCGAACGCTCCCGGTAAGGGCGCACCTTTATATCGAACCTATTCATGTCACGGTATGTCTGTATTTAACCTATGCTTTTGGTGCTTTAATACCGACCCATTCTATTTTATTTTATGATAGTTCGTATTTTCTTCTAATTGGCATTCTTCCAAATCACGTAAAACAATAGTTTCTCGAGAATTATCACCTCCGCCGTTGTTGGCATGTTTAGTCACAAAGTCGTTATAATAATGTTCGTGAAATTGTTCGTGTTCTTTCTTAGCATATCCAATTAATTTGTTTTTAGTTTTAGTGGAACATTTGGCAGTACTTATAAATGTGCATTTTAAACTATTTATTGACGGCCTCGTTGGCCGAATGGTAGCAATTGCGACTGCCGGGTAAGGGGTCTCGGGTTCGATTCCCGGGTCGGGCAAAGTATTACTGGGTTTTTAAAAAATTCTCAGTAGTAGCACGGAGTCTGGAACTGTGACCGGTATATGGCAATAGTCTTACCCCCTATTACATGGGACTCATAACATAAATAGTAAAAAGTGGGTGTTACATTGTACAGTGGTATAATGTGCACCTCTGCCTACTCCTTCGAGGATAAAAGGCGTGATGTTATGTTATGTTATGTATAAATAATTTACCAACTCTTTGTTTATATTTTTCAGAAAAACGTCGTGATGCTGCTGAACAGGCGCGTAAGAAGCGAGAGGCCATGCTGGGCCATATCGAGCTCGTGAAGGAACTCAATGAAAATGATGAAGAGAGAAATCATGCTGGGGAAATGGTACGTGTTAATCATCACAATCTTTCGTCACGGTTTAGAATCTAACTGCTGGATAAAGTATTGCCCCTATTTTTGCCACACTACATTAGCCATCCATTCGTTACTTCCGATTATAAATTTATATCGCCTACTGAAATGGTTTGGAAAAAGAAGTTAAAACAGTCCAAAAATGTGATAAATCTTTTTCAAACCATTCCGGTATCTAGTCAAGACCTTACTCCATCTTCTACTATCTGTACCTCTTGCCAAATGTCGATGGTGTTGTGAAACAAGTGAATTTATTTCTGCAAATAGGCTACAAGGCAGCACTTTTATACGTCAATTTTATCAAGCGAACGATGAGGTCGACATTTCCTAACTGACTACTCTGAGAAGAAATGCCGAAACAAACTCAGAGGTCTGTCTCTTTTAAAGTCCAGACAATATGTATAAAAGATTATGTGTGAGAACCGTGCAAGTTCTTTCTGTAGTGGCCTTTTGAGGAAAGAACCACAACAGTTTGAGCGGACCCGTTCTGAAGGCAGTACGCATGTGTCGGTTTACAGTCGGCTCAATTAACAGGTGAGGCTGACTGATTCGACGAACAATATCAACCTAAAGAACATTTGCGTGGGTCGCACAAATACTCAAACTGTCAGAATATGGGTAATTAGAAAAGAAATGGTGAGGCAAAGTCTTGTTACTAACAGTCTCGAGGACTTCACTAGACGTTTGTAACGAAGTCTTTGCAAATCCATTATTGGTGCCATATATTTAAAGCTTAGCCTTTTCCATTTCATTATTCTATGACTGCACGGTTGGTGCGGTGGCTGGGCAACCGGCTGCTGTGCAACGTGTCGCGGGTTCGATTCCCTCATGGAACAACACTTTGTGTGATCCACAAATTGTTGTTTCGGGTCTGGGTGTCATGTGTATGTCAACTTGTATGTTTATAAACGCATCCACAAGAGATAATCCTAGTGTGGGGCAACGTTATTTTTTTTAAATAAAGGCAAAAAGAGCTTTAGCTTGGACGTATGTACCAAAAATTATGTTTCATAACTTCTACATTGACTTGCACTGACTCTTCAATATAGGTGTCACTAACCATTCCCTCGCATAAATTCCAGGATGCAGATGGTTACGCTGACCACCATATGTTAGTCAACGAGACAACTCCCCTCGACATGAGTAACTCAGAGTTCTGGTCCTCGTTCTCCAGCAGTGAGGAGGCTCTGTTAGAGTGCGAGGGCCTGATCCTCAACCTCCCTCTGACTCCACATCGCCACTGCTTCAGGAATGCTTCCGAAAATGAAGCCTTTGCCGCTGCCAAAGCTAATGCCCTTACTTATAGGTGAGTGTTAGAAGAAACGAAAAAAAAACTTAAAACATTTTCTTTGTAAGATAAGCCGGTAAACGAGCATACAAATCACCTGATAGTAAGCAATCGGCGTCGCCCATGGACACCTGGACCACCAGAGGCGTTACAAGTGAGTAACTGGCCTTATGGGGATTAGGAGTTTGAAGATTGGTGGGGATGCAGCGATATTGGAGAAGGGGTGAGGAGGTAATTGGGCCTCCGGTAACCTCACTCACGTTGAGCAACATAACGCAAGCGTTGCTTCACGTCGGTATTCTGCTCGGCCGTAGTATCACTCCGGTTGAGCCGGTTCATTCGTACCGAAACAAGGCTCAGCCCCATTACATGAGATTTATAACATAAATAGTGAAAACTGGGTGTTACATTGTACAGTGGCATTAAGGGCCAAAGGCGTGATGTTCAAGAGGCGCGTCGCGTTCCGCGCGCGCCTCAAATCAAAGAGCCATCAGACCACCACAGATGGGGCCCAACAGGGCCGATGCCGATTCGGAGTCGCGGAGAACCTAACGGGTTACCGGGGCTCCGGCTCGACGTGCAGGAGAAGGAACGGGGTGGTTTTTAGTCAGTAAGAGTCTGACACTCTCTCTCGCCTCACCCATACGGGAGGAGTAATTCGATGATTTTCCCCACTTAAAAAAAATAAAAGGCGTGATGTTACATAATGTATGTTGTTGTATAAAATGCCAGGGTCCCAGCGAACGGCTACTACTTCTTCGTGTTCAACTCGGAGAACGAAGTACAGCGGAACTACATCCGCGCGCGGTTCGAGCTGCAGAAGACGCGCTACGACGTGGCGCGCACCGCGCTGCGCACCTGCACCAACACCACGGCGCGCTGCGACCTGCCACTCGACATCTTCTCCACGCAGAAGGTGAGCGACTATACAACATACCATTATAGCTACTGTAAGTGTCTAAACACACTTTGCCGAACGTACGCGACCGAAGTTCCGCGGCAGATTTTACGTTCCAACGTAATTCGGCTGATATGACACACCATAAGTAATGTCGTGGTGGCCCGGAGGTTTAAGACGCCCACTTCTCATGCATGAGGGTGCGGGTTCGAAACCTACCAACGGCAAGTACCAATGTGACTTTTTCCGAGTTATATGTACTTTCTAAGATTATTTAGACACCACTGACAAACGGTGAAGGAAAAACATCGTGAGGAAACCTGGACTTATAATTTCTAATTATAAGTTTGAAATCGCCAACCCGCATTGAGCAAGCGTGGTGATTAATGCTCTAACCTTCTCCGTGTGAGAAGAGGCTTTGCTCAGCAGTGGGCATTTATAGGCTGTTGATGATGTGTCGCCAGTAATTCAAATAGTATTGCAGGCGTAATCATGCCGAACTTCCGTCGCGTATCCTCGGCACAGTGTGTTTAAACACAAAGATGTGTTAAATATCCAGTATCTTAGCGCTGATCTACAGAGAGAGTAGAAATCAAAATGTATGTGGATGACACTGACAAGTGTCAAAACGCCAATTACTACAATTCCTACATACCTATTTTACTTCATCAACAGTCATTAATCTTTTCATGCATGCTCGTCGGTTAAGGGTACTTTTAATTTGGCTCTTCTTTTATATATCTCCAATCCCATCAGTATATGTCCGTCTAGGGCGCGGTTTTTTTACGTTCATAAAAAGAAAATCAAGCATAAAGAAGGTATCCTAATTGGGGGTCGTTTTTAAACAAAATTAGATTTAATAATGAACATTATGAATAAATAATACTTACTTAACCTCTTGACTTCCATTATCTCTCGGCCCTCGCTCTCATATCTACGTTGCAGCAAACTAAATATGATTAGCCTCTTCCAGGTGGTGCTAGAAGTCCCCCTAAGGAACAACGACTCCCTATGGAACGAGCAGTTCCTCATCATATCGGAGTGTGAGCCTCGGACCTCCATCTACATCTTCTGCGTCATTGCGGTGCCTATACTTATACTCGTGTTCGGCTTCCAATGAACGGTGAGTCAATATTTTTTTACTTACTAGAAGGAATCGTGGAATAAGACATAAAAGAATGGATGGGCATATAGAAGATGATCGAACAAAACGTAGACAAGTAATATAATGTTTTTATTTTCAGTGTGTAGGCTAAAAAATATTGCTTTTATAACCGCTATTACCGCTGAACAGTATGTTACTACTACTAGTGACATCTAGCGGATAGTTTGCAAATACTTTTGCATTTAGTGCTACAACGTGACTAATAGATGGCGCATCAAAACATTAACGAAATTAATTTCATACAACATTGAAGTACTTAAAACGTAGTAGATTATTGTTGTTCTTTTTTAAATTGTTATTTTATGTTTTTATATTGTTTTCTTTTTTTTTGTTTTTCAATGTTTATGTTGTGTGTAAATTTTTGGTGGTCCATGTCTGGTGGCGAATAAATTATTTTTCTTTCTTTCTTTCTTTCTTAGATAATTTTTTCAAACCTTAGACGGTTTACTAAGATCTTTTTAGTTAGATATTTAATAACTAAAATTTTACCTTACTTGCGCACCTAATGTTAGTAATTATGACAAATTTTTGCAATTAGGTTCTCACTACCCATTGTTATTTTCAAAATGGATGTTAATAAATTTTCCATACAAGTTTAAATACTATTTAAGTATCTATTTTTGTTGTTCATAACCTATTGTTTTCTTGGAATGGAAATTAAAAACAACACGACCATAAATAGGTATCATAACAACGCCGAAAATACTTGAAAACAAAAAAAAATTAAGTAGGTAGCTACCTAAATAGTGCTTGAAAATACGGTCACTTAAGGACATAGGTACATATATATGACTAGCTACTTCCGCGCGGCTACTTCTGCTCAGCTCCTATTAGTTGTAGCGTGATGTTTTATAGCCTATAGCAATCCTCGAGAAATGCGCTATCCAACACAAAAAGGAAGGTTGTACCCGCGCGTTCTGCGATCGGTTGTCGGGCGATCGCAATGGAAGGACCGGTCTGGAACTCAACTGACTGATTAATCACTAGCAGTAGTAGAAACGGGGTGATTTTTAGTCAGTATGAGTCTGACACTCCCTACCGCCTCACCCAGGCGGGAGCAGTCATTCGATGATTTTCCCCCTTAAGAAAACAAAAAATAAACCACCCATCTTGCAATAATGAACCGTCAAGTTTGCGGGCAGAAAACTGCGATCCCGTGAGTGTTGACAATAAATCCCCATGTTGCCACCGCGGCGGGCGCGTGTGAAAATCGCGTCGTGAGTCCGTAGCGTAACAACTGCTGTTCTATCTACTTCTTCAAAAAAAAAAAACATACTAATAAGTTTCTTACGCGTTATTTTTTTAAAAAAAGAAAAGAAGGAGGTCCTAATAAAGTAACGTAGGTATGAAGAATTGTCCACTTTGCGTCTTTTTTTATTCTTATTACTTTTTTTATACTACGACGGTGGCAAAAAAAAACGGCCCACCTGATGGTGAGCGGTTACCGTACCACTTTTGACGAATGCATGCATCCTTCAAAAACGATAGGGGATATTTAGTTATTTATTATTTTATGTACAAAATTTTATTACGGCACATAAGGCGAACTTAATGCCATATGGCATTCTCTACCAGTCAACCTTAGGGTTTAAGTAGAAAATCAGCGAAAAATAAGGCACGGAGAGAGAGAAAAAAAATAGGGATATCTATATCCCTATCGTTTTTGAATTGCCGTTTTGTTGACAGTTTTCATTGTTTCTAGCAAGCATTTGTCATTTGTAGGCCGCCTTCTATTTGTGAAGTAAGCAACATTCGTCAAATGACACAACGTGGACAGTTACACAAACTATTTTGTCCTGACTCTAGTATTTCAAAGTCATTGACTGTGAACTCATGAAGTCATGACCAGTCAATGAAGGAATACATTCATCAACTGCTAGACAAGAAAAAACAAATGAATAACAACACCATTCCAGTACCTAGGACATCTCAATTAAGAGACATCGTTAATTCAAGTCTAAATTGATACGAGTGTACGCCGAGATTGAGATTAGATTATTTGCGTCTGAGTGAGACAAATTGCAGGCAATTTGTGCATAGGCCAAGATCAATGTGAGTGTTTGTTTGCATACAAAAGTTGCTGGATTCGAGGCTGTGGAAAGAATCGAAGCGAATCATTGCACAGTTGCGCACAACGCCAGCGTTGCTTTACGTCGGTTTTCTGTGAGGCTGTGGTATCACTGCGGTCGAGGTGGCCCATTCGTGTCGAAGCATGGCTAAATATAAATTTTAAGTGTGAGTAACACTTAAAATTTATAAATAATCATCATTATAATAGGGTAGATGACTAATTTTTCAACCGATTTCAAAAAAAAGGAGGAGGCTTTCAATTCGACTGAATGTTTTTTTTTTATGTTTGTTACTTGATTACACGAGGACGCCTGGACCGATTTAATTTTTTTTTTTTTTTTTGTTTGAAAGGTTACGCTTGTCATTTAGTCCCATTGTCATGAAATCAAGAGATCGTGAAGGGGAACTTTTAAAAATTATAGGGGACCCTAGAGCATTTGTCAATTTTTTCGTTAAGTATTTAAAACCAATACAATCTGATAACGGTCTTGAGCTGATCTGATGATGGAGCCGATAGGCAGTCAAGGGAACTCCTCAACGGTTAACAGTCGCTATATTGTGGTTGGGTTTGATTAATTTGTATTGATGAGGACTTTATACCTATGTGGTATGTGATTGCCAATAAGAGTCTGATGATGAAGTAGTAACTGACGGACTAATTAGAATTTTCATACCCCGTCATCATCCCTATTGACAAACTTAACCATCCTCATCTGCTTTGACGTCATTATACCTCTAATTACGAATTCTATCGTCTAGAAGTCTCAAGGGTACCTTGTTATTGCTATACTTGTGCATTTAATATTCAGACGTCGTGCACTTTTATTGTCCAATCAATTTAGTTACGTTGCATTGCAAATTGCAAATGACCTAACGGGGTTTGAGGACTGGCGTCCATTGAAAGCGATATGATACTGGTCTTTACATTAGCGGTGTTAAAGGAGGCGTAAAAAATAGGGTAGCTTTGTGAAAACAATATTACTGCATATAACCCAGAATATTCTACAGATGTACTGTAAAATAAAATCGACATTTGACAGTTTTTAATATGAAGTAATTGTCAAAAATGTTTCCTCCGATCAAATCTAGCGTTGGAAGAATCGAACCTAAATCGCGATATGTTTTCTGATAGATAGATCGATCGCGATCTATAGATCTGATTCTGTGTTGTTATTAATTTATGAGAATTCGGAGTTAAAAACCTTAATAATAATTATGTATCTTCATGCCACATTTTTTTTTAAACTTTGCCCCACACTAGGATTTTCGCCTGTGTCGTGGGTGCGTTTACAAACATACAAGTTCACATACACATGACACCCAGACCCGGAACAACAATCTGCGGATCACACAAAGAGTTGTTTCGTGCGGGATTCGAACCCGCGACACATTGCTCAGCAGCCAGTTGCCCAGTCACCGCGCCAACCCTGCAGTTAAACCGTGAAATCAGAGTAAGATTTTCAGCTTAGTATTTTAAAAACCATATTATCTGGAGATTATATGCGAACATAGACCACAGATGTTGCCAAATAATCCGAATGATTTTTACATAATTCCAATTTCCGATCTCGATAGACATCGTGCTTAAAATATTTCTCAAACGTGTGCATCACACTTAAAACATTCACAATTGAAAGCTACTGCCCGAATACTAAAACGTTACTTAAATTTAAGTCACGCTTAAGTATAGTTCTGTCACCACTAATTCTTTGTGAAATGACAGAGATGGCCCGATATTTAAGCACGACTTAAAATTGAGTAACGTTTCAGTATTCCGGCATACATCGCTTAAAATATTATCGCTCTAGGAGGAACACCGACTAGACTCCCAATCAAAACAGCTCCAGGGTCGTCTGATGTCGACAAGCAGACATCTTGACAGTTATACCCGACAATGTCACTTGCAGTTAGACAATATTTTATTACTAATCAAAGTTGTGTGTCTAAAGCTGACAGTTCGGTATTTCCTAGATAATACTGACTTGCATGTATTATTAGGACTAGTTTTTTTTCTAAACCGAATTTTAGTAGACCTTGGAATATTTTTCAGACGTTTTCCTACATAGATTGAGTCTTTTTTTTAAGGGGGGAAAATCATCGAATGACTGCTCCCGCCTGGGTGAGGCGGGAGGGAGTGTCAGGCTCTTACTGATTAAAAACCACCCCGTTCCTGTTCCTATTCCTGCACTTCAAGGTGGAGCGCCGGCAACTCGTTAATTCCTCCGCGGCTCCGTATCGGCATCAGCCCTTTTGGGTATCTATGGTAGTCTGATATATGGCCTGCATCAACAACTAGTCTGTTGGTAGATTTTTTACCAGATATTTTTTTTTACCACATATACCTAACTATCGTAACAGTGGTGGCCCGGAGGTTTAAGATGCCCGCTTCTCATGCATGAGGGTTCAAAACCTACCAACGGCAAGTACCAATGTGATTTTTTCCGAGTTATATGTACTTTCTTAGATTATCTAGACACCACAGACAAAAGGTGAAGGAAACATCGTGTGGAAACCTGGGCTTATAAAATAAGGCCTTTGGTCACCAGTGGCCATTTATAGGCTGTTGGCTGATGATGAACTACCGTAACGGCTATCATAGAAGTTCATATTATGGTATTCAGAATCACATTGGAACCGCTGGTTTGTTGTAGTCTCAGAAGAGATACTAAAAATTTTTATAAAAGTAATGCACATCCATTCGTAAATTAATTATTTTTCTAATTCGCGGGTCGTAGGAATGGTTTTTGTTTAAGGGGGGAAAATCATCGAATGACTGCTCCCGCCTGGGTGAGGTGGGAGGGAGTGTCAGACTCTTACGGACTAAAAACCACCCCGTTCCTTCTCCTGCACTTCGAGCCGGAGCCCCGGTAACCCGTTAGGTTCTC